CCGCCATCAGCTCGCGCCGGAATCGGGAACGGCTTGTGGCAGCTGGAGACACAGGTGAGCTGCCGGGCAGGGGGGAGGGGGTCCCCGCACTGAGAGCGTCTGGGCGGGCTGAGCCTTGCCGTGCCCCTCCCCCTGCCTGTGGTACCGGGAGCGGACTTTCCCCTCCCCCCCCGATCCTCTTGGGTGGGGGCTGCGCTGAGCCAGGCCGAGGGGCCTGAGCCCACGAGCGGGGGGTCGGGTGATCGGGGCGAGCCCCCCCCCCATCGCTGCATGTGACGAAGTGGGCTCCAGCCCACCAAAGCGTTATGCCAGGGCTCCTCGTTGTTTTTACAAAATTAGAATTTCACTCTTTTGGACAAGGGAGAAGTGAAGCCCCCATCCCGCAGAGACTCGCTGAGTCTAGTGCACCTCGATCCGAGTTAATGAAACTAGTGTACTAAAAACCAAGCATGGCATTAGTCACTGAAAGATCAGGACCAGATTTATTTGTTGTCGTTACTAGTCACCTACATCTTGAGGCTGTAATATGCAAAACTTTGTAAGGGCTAGAGTTAAATATACACAGATGTCTTAAATCTGTAAGTGACTTTTACAAAAAAAAAATGTGTTTACTTCATGTGGTCTCTTCTTAATAAACAATATACTTTTGTGTTAGCTAATTTTTATTAGGACTTTTCTGAATGCATGTACACTTCATATGTCTGGAAATATCTGTTAAGCATATCTCTTCTTTCTTGGAAAGGTCACTATTTTGAAGACAATGTCTGGAAGTTTCTACTTTGTAATAGTTGGTCATCATGATAATCCAGTCTTTGAAATGGAATTTCTACCTTCTGGAAAAGTAGAGTCCAAGGTTTGTGGATTTTGATCCTTTGTATATATAGCTGCTTCTATTTGATTATTTCAGTGAATTAATAAAGTCTCACAACAGCCCTTTGAGGTAACTATGTTGTATTATTCTCGCTTGTATAGAAAATGTTGGCAGAACAGGGGATAGAATCCCTAACTCCAGATTTTTTTCTATGTATTAACAACAGATCATTCTGTCTCTCCAGAATGCATACATTTCTGAATCTTTTGAACTGAGTTTGTACTACTAATAGTTGCTTGACATGTATTACATGCTGTCCTTGATTTATCTCACCACCTCAAAAATACAGCCATTGGATGTCACTCTGTTCTAGAAGGATAGTCGGGGGGGGGGGGACTTGCTTTTAAAAAACTAATATTACAGCATACAATTAATACCACTGTGTTGGGTTTTTTTTAATTATCATTAAAAGAAATACTAAACCGGCTCAGGTCTAATAAGGTCTCCAAAGTATGTAGTGATGGACCTGATTGACTTGCTTTATAAATAAATACAGATTAGAGAATGTGTAACGTAACGGCTCCTATGAGGAGAGAGCACATATACCGTGATGATGGGTGCATAAAGGGGGGGGGAAAGCATAGAGTACAGAGCTGAAATGAAAAGGGGTTCACTATGTATTATTGGTTACTATCCTTCATAATACAGTAAACATCCGACAATCCGGCACCTTTAGGACCCAGGGGGTGCCGGATTATCAAATATGCCAGACTATCGGAAGGGGGGGCTATGAAGGATCTGGGTTGGAGTGGAGGGGGAATGCCACCCCAGACCCCTCATAGTGCACCCCCTTCCAATGAACCTGGAACCACTCAGGTCAGCCACTCTCACAGCCGGGCTGCTCTGAACCACATGCATGTTCACAGCCTGCGCTGTTCTGCTCATGGCTCCCAGTGCGCTACGTCATATCCTGCACGTGCAGGCCAGGTCACAGTCAGCATCCCAGCCTGCACATGCTAGCAGCTGGCCACTGAGCTCAAGCGGCTCTGGCTCCGGCTCTGGCTCCAGATGCGGCAGCGCCTTCGGTTCCGGGACGTGGGCATAAGGTTGGGGGGGAGGGAGGATCGGGTTAGAGCGGGAGGGAGATGCCTGGCTCTGGAGAAGGGAGAGGAAGGGCATCGGGGGGGGGGGAGTGCTCATGGCATCCCGGCCAGCATACGCTCAAAGGTGGCAGCTCAGTGCATGCGCCCAGCGCCTGGGGAGCAGCAGTGGCAGCAGCAGCTCTGCTCTGGGACCCGGGAATAAGGTTAGAGGGAGGGAGGTAGCCCGCGCACTTCCTGAGACCCCGAATCCTCAGGTACTGGCCAAGCTGTCTCTGTCCCAGCACCTTGCCCCAGCACTCTGTCCCCTGCCTCCACCAGCACAGGTGGGGCCACATTAGTGAGGCTTGGGATTTTTTGGAGGAGTTGTTTTTTGCATCTCACTTGTGTGACCCCTGACTCAAAACAGGTTCCCTGCCCCTCATAAATAAACACAATGCTGAAACACATTGTGTTTGACATAATATTTTATTTAAAAATGACGCCTGGCCAACAATCCTCCAATTGGGACCAAGCCCCCATCTGGCCACAGCATCATGACGCCCCCCTTCCCGACCCTAGATTTGAGCCTGTCATACACTGGAACCCCCTCTCCTGAGCCTGCCACATCCCCAAACTCCTGCAGCCCCACATCCGCAGTCTTCTGCCACAACACTTCTGCACCATCCACACACTGCAAATCTGTGTCCTGAGCCCATCATACTCCCAACCTCCCTGCCCTGAGCCCCTCATTCACCCCAGACCAAACTCCTGCACCCTCACAGACACAAGCCTGCTTGCTCAGAACGCCAACCCTCCACCTAACCTCAACACTGTCCAGACTGGAGCCTCCTCCCTGGGATGGCGTACTGGCACCTATTTCCCCCCAGCGTGGCTGGTTTTGTTTTTTTGTTTTCTCAACTTTCTGCCCCGGTACGTGGCTCTTCGCACTCTGTCCACCACAGACAAAGGCAGCAAGGGCAGGGCAAGGAGCAGCAGTCGACTATCCGATAAACATTTGCTTGTCAGATAGTCGACTAGTCATTTACATCCCTAGTGAAAACCATGAAGGATGGAGTGGATCTGTGAGTGCAAGAGCAGCACATGAGCAGTATACCCTCAGGATAGGACATGCTGGCAGAACAGCTATGGTTTCTAAATTGTTGAATGCTTAGGGTATAGTCTTAGCCAGCTCTTATTTTCAGTAATCCATTTTTTAATACAGGTTGGACTTCCCTGGTCTGGCATCCTTGGGGTCTGACCAGTCCTGCGTGAGGGACTTTGCCAGACCAGAAGAGCAGCACATGAGCAGTATACCCTCAGGATAGGACATGCTGGCAGAACAGCTATGGTTTCTAAATTGTTGAATGCTTAGGGTATAGTCTTAGCCAGCTCTTATTTTCAGTAATCCATTTTTTAATACAGGTTGGACTTCCCTGGTCTGGCATCCTTGGGGTCTGACCAGTCCTGCGTGAGGGACTTTGCCAGACCAGAGAAGGTCATATCTGGCTCCCCTGCTACTGGCTTCCTCCAGCCCTGGACCATCTGCAGGCCTCCTGGCTAACTCCCTTTTGCCACCAGCCTCACTGCCATGCCAGTCCCCCCACCTCCTTCCATGCTATGCTGGGCAGCCCAGCTGCAGCCAAGCTCCCTGCATGCTGGGCTCCTGGCACCTCCAGGAAGCCCTGCTACAGTGCACTGTGCTCCTGGCCTTGCCAGGCAGCCCTGTTGCTGTGCCCTCCCTCCCCCACCTCCTTCCCTGCTATGCCAGGCAGCCCAGCTGCAGCCCACCTCCCTGCGCACCAGGCACCTACTCCTATTGGGCAACCCTGCTGTGGCATGTTGTGCTCCTTGCCCCGTTGGGCAACCCCACTATGGTGCACCGAGCTCTAGGCTCCTCCAGGCATCCCCACTATGGTGTGCTGAGCTCCTGGCCCCACAGGGCAACCCTGCTACACTCCTGGCCCTGTCGGGCAGCCCCACTGTGGCACGCTGGCTCCTGGTCCTTCCAGGCAGTCCTGTTATAGCATGCTGAGCTCCTGGCCCCGCTGTGTTGTGCCTGGCTGTCCAGATGCAGCCCAGCTGTGGGGAGCCTAGCCCTCCACCAAGACTCTGGTCCTCGGACATCCGTGGTACTACCAGACAATGGAAGTTGCTGGACCAGTGAATCCCAGATTAGAGGTTTAACCTGTACTATAGGATGTAAGAACTAGTGCTAAGCACATAATTGCATTTACTTGCATTGTTTCTGCACTGGTAGGGATGGATTCATCTGTGGTATTCACTAAATGCCATATTCCTATTTATCATAGAGGGAGTTGTACCTATTTACATTTGTGATATTTAATTCTAGTATTTAATGCACAATGCTTTCAATAAAATGGGCTATACTAAAACAAAACCCTCATTCTCTCAACTTTCATCTCTGATACCAAAGTATTGGGAATATATGTTGTATTTGCATTTCATGAAAGACCGTATTATGTCTTGCAGAAGAAAGGTTGAGAGTACACACTGCAAGAAAATGTACTTCTATTACTGCAGCTGGTGGATTATTCTTATTTATGTTTACTACTCATAAGAAATATTCTGTTTTCTGTATCAGGATGATCATCGTCATCTCAACCAATTCATAGCTCATGCTGCTCTTGACTTAGTAGATGAGAATATGTGGCTGTCTAACAACATGTACCTGAAAACAGTAGACAAATTTAATGAATGGTTTGTTTCTGCTTTTGTCACTGCAGGTCATATCCTTTCTCTGTATTTATAATTTCTTGCCAGCCAAGTATCTTAAACTTAAGGGGGGAGGAGGAGGACAAATACCGCAGGGGGTCGGGATTGCTTGAGCAGAAGAATGTTATAAAAATACCACCACAGAGGAACAGTATAGAGATCTGTTCCTGCTCATACAGTTTTCTCTAATTCCAACATCTTTTTAAAGCTGCAAATAAGAGGCTTGTCTATAACTACTTGACGGTTGGGGGTCTCTACACATCCAGTAAAAATGGATAGTTCCAGTTATTTAGATGTACAGGCTTGATTTGGATATCAGATACCAGGTGTTAATTGCCATGTACACTATAAAAATGACTGCATTTGTTTGACAATCACTTCTAATTTTACATATGTGGAAACATTACTTAGAATTATTTAAAAAATTCACTTCAGAATTTGGATTTTTATACAAAATAAAGACTTGAATGAGGAAGTAACACGTTTTGTAATAAAGGCATGGATTTAATTATGGATTAAAATGTACTGCTTCCTATAGTTAATGTTCCTGGAGATCCCTCTTTAAATTCTAGCTTCCAAAGAACAATGTCTTGCATTTATAAAACTGAGGTATAAGCATTTGCTGCATTGAGGTCTGAGTGCTTGCCTCAAATACTGTCAGATTTTTCATTAGTTTTGCAAAATTTAGTGTTAGGTTATAAAATTACTTGGGAGTGGGGTGGGAAAGAGCAGAGAGTCATTAATCTTAAATTTTTTTGAATGAAATTGCCTCCTTAATTGTACCACATATGAGATTTATTATGCTTCATGATGTAAGACAAGAAGATGGAATTAAAAACTTCTTTAATGATGTCTATGACTTGTATATAAAGGTAAGAATTAGCTCTTATAACTGTGTTCTATCATACACACTTAAGCTATATTTAACTCTATTACAGCAGTTCTTGGGTTGGCAATGATGGGAGATTTTTGATAGCTTTCCTAATGTAGACATAGAGGTTCCAGGGTGATAAACTATCTATACTCAGCCTGTGTATCGAGCAGTTAACACTGTGTCTATTGGACTTGATCTAATCAAGCTTAATTGATACAGCATTATAAACATCTCTGGCTATGGGAAGGCCTTCATTTTGAGTGAAGGTTTTATCATTAAAAGCCAGATTGATTGGGGTGAGCCTAAAATAGTGTAAACTGTACCATTTCAACTCCTGTGCCTGAAACGTAAAAATGCATAAGTGGTTGAAAGTCAGAAGGTATTTGTGGGAGTGAATATGCCCTATTTTTACTCATGACATGCTTTTGTAATAATCTTCGTATAAATGTGCCTTGTGAGAGGTAATATTTTAAAACTAATAACTCACTGGTCACTGTCATGATAGAAGAGGGGTTGGCAACATACGGCATGCATGCCGTAAGTGGCATGTAAGATGATTTTCAGTGGCACATGCAATGAACGGGCTCCCCTTTGCCCCACCCACCCACAAGAGAGAGTCCAGCATCAAACCCTCTGTCCCCTTTGCCCCACCCACCCACAAGAGAGAATCCAGCATCACACCCTTTGTAAGATTGGAGCCAGCGCCAGCTTCCTGCGGGGGATGGGAGAGGAGAGCCCATTCATTGCGTGCAGCATCACACCCTTTGTAAGATTGGAGCCAGCACCAGCTTCCTGCGGGGGGAGGGGAGAGGAGAGCCCATTCATGCACCGCAAATGTGAGACTGAGCTCGAAGGTGGGCAGGGAGAGTCTGGGTATGTTGGTGGGCCACCACAGGGTGCATAACACAGCATTACGTGTGCGTCGTCTCCGCTCGCGGAAGTGGAAATGTCAGCTGAGCTGCCCCTCGCGGCAGTTTGGCCTCTTCCCTTTTTCCACCCTGGGGCAACAACTTCATGGTGCATTCCTGGCTCTGTCACAGCCCCCAGGATGGGAGCCAATCACAGCTAAAGGAGTGCAGGGGCGGGAGAAGGAGGCATGAGTGTGCACTGAAGGCCAAAGTCTGGCAGCTCAGTCTAGCTTGGGAAGCCCTGAGGTTCCATGCCAGATCCAGTCTGTGTATTACACATGTGCTGCTCTCCTCACCCAGGAAAAGCCCTGGGCTCCACTCCAGCAGAAAAGTCTGGCAGCTCAGTCTAGCTTGGGAAGCCCTGAGGTTCCATGCCAGATCCAGTCTGTGTATTACACATGTGCTGCTCTCCTCACCCAGGAAAAGCCCTGGGCTCCACTCCAGCAGAAAACAAAGCAGGGTAGCCGATGGAGAGAGCCTCTCCATCCACCCTCTCTGGGAGAGCAGCGCAGCCCAGGGCAGGAGGGTTAAATCTTAGCATGCCACTTTGGAAAGGTTGCCCACCCCTGTGATGGAACACATGTACACACTATGTACTAAGAGTTGTAAACCTAGGATGAAATCATAACTGTTTACCAGATAAGGGCAGGGAGAAAATAAACTATTCCTGCTCCTTTTCATTGGCGCAAATTAAAGTGAATGAGCAGTAATGACAGATGGAGACAGGAACAATGTGTTCTAGTGAGAATAGAAATTTTTTTACCATGAGACTGTTCTCAAAGCATGAAGGAAAGAACATTTTCAAGGGGTAACTCAGGAAAATGCATTTCAAAGGGAGGCTGCATTACAAGAGAGGGGCAAAACCATCCCTGAAAAATCTCTTAAGATGGCAGAGGAACCAGCCTTTGCGCCGAAGTAGGGTGGCCAGCTTCCTAAACTTGGACCCTGCTAAAACTCTACCCCTGCTCTGCCTTCTCCTACATGCTCCCCTCACCTCCTAACTCCAGTGTGAACTAAGGATGTTAAAATGCAATTGACTAGTAGACAGGCAGTTCTGCATTCCTACTGGGGCTCTTGTACATTTCAAAGGAGGAATGCAAAACTCTGCATACAGCCCGGGCCAGTGGGAAGTCTGTTTTGAAATGTACAAGAGTGGCAGGTGCTTGCTTTGAAATGTACAAGAGTCCCCAGAGGGGATTTTTGTGCATTTCAAAGCCATGGAGCCCAGAGTCAGTGCGAGGTACGATACAAAGCATTGTGAGGCATCCACAGTTGTGGGACAGGTGGTGAGAGCCCCTCACTGAACTAGATTGCACCCCACTATGTAAGTTTGTCTAAACTCTTGTAATATACAGCAGATGAAAATTACAGCAGTTTAGCTTTGCCACAGTAGCCCTGCTGCGGCAAAGTTACAGCAGTCCCTGGAACAGCAGGGTCCTGGTGGTCCTGTGGCAATGGAGCCCCAGCACCCTGAGGAGCAAAGCCTAGCAGCCCCAGTGGCCAAGACTGGGGGTGGAGCTGGGAGGTGACAGGCTGGGGAGCTCAGCTGAGTCTGTTGATGGAGCCTGGGAGAGCCCAGAGTCCCTCTGCTGACTGACAGAATTGACTCCCTTGGTCTAGCAAACTCGCTTACACAGGACCAGTTAGGTCTCAAGGGTGTCAGACCAGAGAGATCCAACCTGTACTTGGGGTCTGATAGGTGTCTTTAAACTAAGAAAATCGTTATAAAAATGACTAAAATGGCTCCATCCTCTGAATTGTCTGCAGTAGTACATTAAATGGAAGATAGTCATCTGAGCCTCAGAATTATGCCAATTTGAACAAATCTCCAGTAATATCACTAGGGTTTTCTGCATACAGCTGGTGATAAGGTTCAGCATAAGGCGTTTAGTAATTGTTCTAAGACTGATAGCTGAAGAATACTTATCTGTAAGACCTGGGTTTTTTTTCCTAGTTCAAAAGTCTGTTTATTGATTGTCTTTTCCCTCCCCCTTCAGTTTGCAATGAATCCATTCTATGAACCTAATTCTCCTGTTCGATCGAGTGCATTTGACAGAAAAGTGCAGTTTCTTGGGAAAAAACATCTTTTAAGCTGAAATAAAGAGATTTCATTTTATTTCATAAATATCTGAACTGTAACTAACATGGTAAGTTTTCAGCATGTTTGACATATCTTTTTGAAGATTTGAGAAGTCTTGAGCCACCTCCAATTTCTTTTCTGGACACAAAAACAAATTGAGCTTTTTGAGGTTGAGAAATAATATATAAAATCCTTCCAGCTGTCATGCATTAAATTAACAAGTCAGGATAAATAGCTGTAGGAAATCAATTATTACATTGCAGAGTGAAAAGCATCAGTATGCCATGGTTGCATTATCAATAGAGTTGAAAAGCAGGTTTTTTTTGTTGGAAGGAAATCAGTTCTAAATGTAAAAAATAATAATGTGGGGGTGTATTTAATGTGTAAATTGTATGACTTAAATTCCTTCTTCTTTATGCTAGGTCAAGAGAGAAATGTGGGCTAACTTAGTAAGATTAAAGCTTGCTATGTTTTTCAGTCCTTGAATAGGAAACTTACACAGCACAATCCCATACTGTTTAGTGCTCATCTCCCTCATCACATGAGCTCAGCGATACATCCCAGAATGCTGTAGCTAAAGAAACATCTGGGGCTGGTAGTCAGTATTGCAAGATCTTTGTTTCTAATAAGTCAGCTTTTTCTGAAGATCAAAACTGCTGAACAATTTACTACATGGTTGAGGCAAGCAACCTATACCTGCACATTGTGCCAGTGAAAGGAATAAAGAAAATAAGAGATTTATAGACATTCTTCCCTAATTGAAGTTTATGGCTAAGTTCTGTTGTGAGAACAAAAGGTTTAAGTTCCACTGAAGTAAATAGAATTTAAGAGTGCTGAAGCACCCTCAAAGAGTGCTTAAACTATTTTTGAGGTTGTATCAGGTATAAGTCAGGGCACAGTTTAGACCATTCTGTACTATAGTAGAGTAACTTTTGCAAGTGGGTATCTTTATACTGTCATTCCAAAATTGTATAACTTAAATGTATAACGAGGTGCACAGCTAAAAATACTTACTTTGGTTCAGTTCAGTACCTTTGCATATTGTATAAATTGATTTCTGAGCCTTAAGCTTAAATATGTGAAATTCCTCAAGTGTCTGAAGAGCTGGAACTTCAGAAATTTTGCATTGTACATGTTAACTGTTTCAACGGTAAAGCATAGCTTTTTTTAAAAAAATGGATAACTAATTCCTAAAATGCCCCAGGAAAACTATGTTGGAGAGATCCTGCTATTTCTTTCAAATAAAATTTGACGTTGCATGGATGTGGATACTTCAATTGCACATACTACAAAGGAGTTGAAAGATGATTTTGATACAGTAAAAAGATTCAGGAGAGGGGTTAAAGTTACTTGCTCTATAGTGTCTGAAGAGCTGGAACTTCAGAAACTTTTTGCATTGTACATGTTAACTCTTTCAACGGTAAAGCATAGCTTTTTTTTAAAAAATGGATAATTCCTAAAATGCCCCAGGAAAACTATGTTGGAGAGATCCTGCTATTTCTTTCAAATAAAATTTGACGTTGCATGGATGTGGATACTTCAATTGCACATACTACAAAGGAGTTGAAAGATGATTTTGATACAGTAAAAAGATTCAGGAGAGGGTTTAAAGTTACTTGCTCTATTTTTGTTGCTACATGTATAATAAAGCTATCTCATAAAATGTGGTCTTGTTTTGATAAGTTGTTATTCCTAATGAAATAATTTGTTTGAACGTTAGACTCAAAGGGAACCAATTTGACAAACGTACTATTTACCATTACTTTATAACTAACTCATACGGAGAGGGAGAACTGTTTTAGAAGTGATCAACAATATGAGCTGACAGTGTTCAATTTCTCGTTTTAGTATACAGTTATACTACTAATTTTGTTTATACTTGAAGATTTAGCTAGTGTCTTCCCAGGTCCTTTAACTCTTGTATTTTGTTTTTCTTCATTTAAATCATTGCTCGGGGGTGGGACTAGGAACAAGTGGTTCAGTATGCAGACTGTCCTCAAGAACAAAGACAACCCCAACCATCTCTGAGAAGCACCTATCCATAGCTGCTGCAGTTCTAATAGGCATGGCCAGGAGAGGTGTGCATGGCCCCTGGCTGGAGGACAGACACAAACTCTCATATAGTAGATAGCTGTCCTTTTCTCTCTTCCTCCACACTCCCATTCAATGGGGTTATAGCTGTCCTGGTCCTCACAGCTGGTGCCTTGCTGTCCCTTTTCTGCAGTGTAACTTCCTCCTGCCAGACCCCTCAGAATCAGACTCCATGTACATCTCATTATCCTGGCACAACCAAACCCTGACCTTGCTTTAAGTTATAAGCAGCTTTTCTTGAAGTATGCAGTAGAAACTCAGTTAGACTGATCAGTCAACTATACACCACAGAGATTGGAAATAACTGATCAGATGGCAGCAGATGCAAAAAAGAGAAGTACTGTACTATGACTCCTGAATTTTAAAGGTGGGTACATCTGAGTTGCCTGTCTCAACCCCTATAGGCTGGGATTGCTTTAAGTTATAAGCAGCTTTTCTTGAAGTATGCAGTAGAAACTCAGTTAGACTGATCAGTCAACTATACACCACAGAGATTGGAAATAACTGATCAGATGGCAGCAGATGCAAAAAAGAGAAGTACTGTACTATGACTCCTGAATTTTAAAGGTGGGTACATCTGAGTTGCCTGTCTCAACCCCTATAGGCTGGGAAGCCATTTACAGCAAGACAGTAGGAGTGCCAGCCCAAGGCAGCTAAAGCCAGCCGAGCC